GCAGAGGGCCATCCTCTATGAGCGGCTCAAAGTTCCTCCTGCCATTAACCAGTTCACCCGGGCCCTGGACCGGCAAACAGCTACCCAGTTGCTTATACTTGCCCACAAGTACAAGCCAGAGACCAAGCAGGAGAAGAAGCAGAGGCTGCTGGCCCATGCTGAGAAGAAAGCTGCGGGCAAAGGGGATGTCCCGACTAAGAGACCACCTGTCCTTCGAGCAGGCATCAATACAGAGAACAAGAAGGCTCAGCTGGTGGTGATTGCCCACGACGTAGACCTTCCTGCCTGCCCTGTGTCAGAAGATGGGGGTCCCCTACTGCACCATCAAGGGAAAGGCCAGGCTGGGGCAGCTGGTCCATAGGAAGATGTGCACCACTGTTGCCTTCACACTGGTTAACTCGGAAGACAAGGGTGCTCTGGCCAAGCTGGTGAAAGCTATTAGGACCAATTACAATGACAGATATGATGAGATCCGCCGCCACTGGGGAAGCAACGTCCTGGGTCCTAAATCTGTGGCTCGAATTGCCAAGCTGGAAAAGGCCAAAGAACTCGCCACTAAACTGGGTTAAATGTACTGCTGGGTTTTCTGTACATAAATATAATTACAAACCTTCAAAAAAATAAGCAGCCAGGCGGAGTTATCTGTTCTTCTTGTTCCTGATCAACCTCAAACACAAAATCCACAAGTCAGTAATTTAAAGTGTGGCCCTGCCTAGGAGCTGGTTACCTTTCTCCCTCAGCAAGCATTCCTCGCCTTACACGTGATGCTAAAAGCCTTGCTGGCCACCGTGAAGGGTGACAAGAGAGATGAAGCACACTGTCTTCTACATGAGGACGTCGAGTGTAGTATTTACCTGTGCTTGGAACTGAGGGTGTCCAGTGGCTGCTTCCCCAGCTCTTCCCAGGTCTTGGGCTCATCTCTGTCCCTCAATATCTCTATGTCCCATTTGTTCAAGGTCTGTGAAGATATTCCCATTGGGACTTGACTTGTTCTCCATTTTCAGGTTGTCTCGTGATGAGCCGAGAAGAGGGAGGGCTCTGTTTACTAAAATGCTTGCTCAATCCTGAGGATCTGAGTTAGATTCCCTAGAGCTGATTTTTAAAAAGCTGTGTGTGGAATGCAAGCTTGTAATGCACTGGGAAGGATCACTGGGCCTCACTGGCCAGCCTGCCTAGCCTACCAGGTTCCAGGCAAGTAAGAGATCCTGTCTCAAAACTGAAAAGGCAGGCAGCTCTAAGAAGTGACAGCTGGGGATGTCCTCTAGCCTCTATACGTAAATGCACAACCTTAGTACACATAAACACACATATGTGTACACACACACACGCACAAACCTCCTTTTCTCTCCATTTCTCCAGACAACTTATGAACTCAGCCACATTCTCATCCCCTGTTCAGCCATGACTTCACAACTACAAGTGGTCAAGAAGAAGTAAGTAAGGCGGGGTTAATCCATTGCTGGTTTTCCAGCAACTATAAGACTTCTTGGGTCTCTCTGTTCTAACTTCACTCTCATTTCTGCCATAGCAAAGCTGTATGTTGTACTGATGGCTGGTATTGGCTCTCTGCCTTATTCCAGAGAGGAGCTGGAGTAAGGGAACGGTGTTCTGGAAAGTGTGTGACCAAAATTAAACTGTGGTGGAGTCGGTCCTCAAAGCTTCCTCCTCTGCTCTCGGTCCTCATTCATGGAAACACATAACTAGCCCAGACTACCTGAAGAAATGGAAAGACCCAAGTCAGATCAGTCATAGACTACTGGTCTTGGTCTAAGGGGAAGAGAAATCCCACAACTCGACTGGAGGGGTCAAACTGCAGCTGGGTGAAAGGAATCACTTCCTTCCTGGAGATAAAGCCAGAGAACAAATGGCTAAGAGGCTTCCACCAAGTTCCTCATGATGTACAACAGACAATATGGAGATGGGAGGGAGAGAGGTGCTATGGATAGTAGTCTTGTCACTTGTATTTTAATAAAATGTTGATTGGCCAATAGGCAGGCAGGAAGTATAGGCAGGGTGACCAGGCAGGAAGCAAAGGTGGGGCAATCAGAAGAGGAGAATTCTGGGAAGAGGAAAGACTGAGTCTGCAGTTGTTACCCAGAGACAGAGGAAGCAAGATGAGAGGTACCAAGCCATGTGGCTAACATAGATAAGAATTATAGGCTAATATGTAAGCTATAAGAGTTAATATGAAGCCTGAGCTAATAGGCCAATCAGTTTATAATTAATGTAGACCTCTGTGTGTTTCTTTGGGACTGAACTACTGTGGGACTGGTGGGGGGCGGGGGGCAAAAACCTCAATCAACAAATGGCACCAATGTGGACAACTAAACCCACTTAAAACCTGAGAGAGTTTGGGAAGGAATTCTAGACACAAAAGGAACAGAGTTAAGCTTGGCTTCTTGGTAGCAGCATTTTCTCAAGTGGGCTCTGTTTGCTAAAGACAAGCATGTCTCATTTAAGAGAGGCTTCCTGAATCAGCTTTAGCTGCAAAAACTTTGCAGCTCTTTTAAGAGGCCCCACCTCAAAAAACTTCAATGGTGTTGATGAATATCTGATAGCATGCTTCTTTGTGGTGACAGGGACCTTGAAACACTATAGAGTTGTGGCAATAAACATGGCTCCAACCAGTACCTCTGCCATGTGGCTAGACTCTCAGAAAGCTAAGGAATGGGGTGGATCCAGCTGTCAAAGCCACAGTTTTAATCCTAGTCATATTGCTTACCAAATTAAAGACTCATGTGATCAGAAAAAAAGAGATAAACAGTAAAGATAGTTTCAAAGACAAAGAAAACCTCTATATGGTTTACAGTGTGTTAAAAAAAAATGTAGGCTTGGGAGAAAAAGAAAAAGGATAAAGTCCTTAAAATAAAAAAGAAAGAAAGATAGAGTTGGGTATGGTGGCACACACCTTTAATCCCAACACTTGGGAGGCAGAGGCAGATGGACCTCTGTGAGTTCAAGGACAACCTGGTCTACGGAGTGAGTGCCAAGACAGCCAAAGATACACAGAGAAACTTAGTCTCAAAAAAACCAAAAAATAAAAATAAAAGAAATAGAGTTTAAAATAAAGCCATGTAAAGATGGAAAATACACAGAGAGTCTGGATACTATATGTTATTCTGTTGTCTTTCAATTATTTGATGGCTGATGAAGGAGCAACAGCTGCTAAAAGACATTTGATTACAAATGCTGCTGGATTAATACAACATATATATTTTGAAAATGCTTTGACTTCAAAATTTAAGCCAAAAAAATATGTTACTTTGGAGAAGAGGTTTTGTTTTTGTTTCTACAGGAAATGAGAGGCTGTGGATTCATTCTGGGCTAAGAAGAATCAGGTTTTATCAAGGAGGACCCCTGAGAAATCTCTGATAAGAGCAGATGACCCAGATGTCTGAGTTCTACATTCAGAACAGTTTCAAGACTGCTGGCTAAAATGACCAAGCCTCACAGAATACTCCAGTCAGGACTTGATTATAATTTTAAATTTTCTTTAGGTCCCCACAAGATTAACAGCACCCCAATCAGGTGGAAGTAGCCTGAAAAACTATGCCCACATTCCCAAAAAATAAATTATGGACATTTGTCTTTGTTTAGAGTGTTGGTTGCAAGTTGTTATGGATAATGGTCAGGATAAAAACTAAACAAAGGACATTGGGTTCAGAGTTCTTGCTTTGAAATAAAAGGGGAAGTGCGGTTGGAAAATAGTCTTGCACTTTGTAAAGATTTGTCACTTGTATTTTAATAAAATGCTAATTGACCGGTAGCCAGGCAGGAAGTATAGGCAAAGTGACCAGCCAGGAAGTAGAGGCAGGATGACCAGAGCAGGAGAATTCTGGGAAGAAGAAAGGCTGAGTCTGCATCACCCAGACACGGAGGAAGCAAGATGAGGATGCCTCGCTGATAAAGGTATCAAGCCATATGGCTAACACAGACAAGAATTATGGATTAAGATGTAAGATATAAGAGTTTATAAGAAGCCTAAGCTAACAGGTCAACTGGTTTATACCTAATGTAGACCTCTGTGTGTTTCTTTGGGACTGAACAACTGTGAGACCAGTGGGGACAAAAACCTCAGTCAACAGAGAGGGAGCAAGGTGAGCTGCCCCATGGTCTAGGCACACTAGCCCTTCAGTCCCCTCTCTTGCTTCAGTTGTTCAGAGGCAGAGCACTATGGTTTGAGCCTGAATGTCCCCGACAGGCTCATGTTTTGAATGCGTGGTCTCTGCCTGGCAGTGCTAGAGTCTCTTGGGTTCTTAGGAGGTGGAGCCTGGCTAGCGGAAATGGGTCACTAGGGGCAGGACTTTGAATACAGCCCCATCCCTGGTTTCAGGCAACACTTTCTGCTTCCACATCCAATCCCTCTGCCACCCATTTCCACCACCATGAACTCACGAAGCCTTTCCCTCCGTGAAGGAAACCACAAAGTAACCCTTTTTCCACTAGGTTGCTCATGGGTAGTGTCCCATCTCAGTGGCACCAAAGTTACCCAGAACCTAAAATGGACACCTCACACTGAAGTGGAGACGCCTATCACTCCAGTCTTTGCTGAAATCCATGCTTGTTAACTGTAACTGGTTCCCAAAACCCAGATATGTCAGACACTCCTGTTGTCTAAGAATTGGGCTTTCCAAGGAAAACTGTGTAATGTGAAAGACAGTGCCAGGGACTGGAGAGATGATTCATTCAATAAATGCTTGCCTTGCTGAAGCAGCATTTCAATTGTATTGTAATAAATAAAAACTGCCTGAAGATCTGAGAGTAAAACAGTCCCACTGGCCAGTCTTACAGACCAGATTTTGGTAACCCACACCTTTAATCTCAGTAGCCACCGTAGTTGCCATAGAAACTGGGCAGTGCATGTCTTTAATCACAGTGGTGCACACCTTTAATCCCAGTCCTAAAGAGGATTACAAAAGGGGAAGAAGCAGCTCTCAAGTCACAGGTCGCCTTCTGAGATTCCTGGAGGCAGGATTACCGTTTCAGAGTGAGGTTGAGGTAAGAGCCAGTGGCTGGCTGTTTTGCTTTTCAGATCTTAAGGTTGAGTCCCAATTTCTGATCCTGAGTTTTTATTAATCGTGAGGACCTGAATTTGATCCCCAGAACCCACACAAAAAGCCGGACATGGTGTTGTGTGCTTCTGACTCCAGCAGTAGTTGGGGGGAGGTGAAGACAGCAGATCCCTGAGGCTGACTGGTTAGTCAGCTGAGCTTAATGGTGTGAGCTCCAATGGAGAGGTCCAGTCTTGAAAAACAAGGCGACCAGCTGGAGTGCTCACAATTCTTCCTAGATGCCAAGAGATTAACAAACCTTACAGCATTTTGTCAAAGATCCCAGGAAGAACAGGCTGTTTCCACACTCCAGAAGAAACTAAGGCACAGAGAGATTCACTCTTTCCCCAAGTCAAGGGCAGAGGCGGGATTCCAGAAATATCCCTGGAAGATGGGTTTGGTCTCAGTGGATAGACTGGCTATCATCTCCCCACTTCTGGTCTTTCTTAATTCCCATACCCCAAGTTCTGGCTTATACAGGGTTGGGGCCTTTTCCACGGGGAGACAAAAAAAAATAGGGCAACTATAATTATAGGTCCCATGTCAACCTTATCTTTAGGGGGTCAGAGGACCTGGTGATGGCCCATCTGTCCGTATCTGCTGTAGGCTCCTTCCCTGTATATGGGTGGATCCGTGAGATGACACTGGAAACCTGCAGAGCTATAGGGGAGGTGAGGACCATGGGGTATGTGAAGGCACCCTGGCCAGCTCAAGTGTGGTGATCATGGCTCTGGCAGGCCATGCCCTTCTCTCCAATTCCTTCTACCTTGCAAAAAAAAAAATTACACTTCTAAAGCTAACCACCAAAGTCTATTCCCTTATTTGACCACTTCCTCCTCCTGAGGCTGACTGCCATGGTCCAGCTATCAAAGTATTGAAGTCCAGCAATTAAAAGCCCCTTTGGATCACCTAATTAACATATGCAATCAAAATTAAATATCTCATCCTAACACAGGGTTTCCCCTTGTACCTTTATAAATTGACATTTGTCACTGAGCCACGTCTGTCTTCCCTCTACCCAGAGGCAGCCCTTTGTCCCTCTGGGACAAATATCCCTGCCCCTTTCCCTGGTTCCCATCCCCTTTTTCATCTTCTATCTCCCCTACTACTGCATCCTAGCCCATCCTAACATAACCTCTCCTTTTGCTCCTCTTAAAAATTGCACCTACAGGCTGGGCAGTGGTGGCACACGCCTTTCATCCCAGCACTCGGGAGACAGAGGCAAGTGGATCTCTGTGAGTTGGAGGCTAGCCTGGTCTACAGAACAAGTTTCAGGACAGGCTCCCAAGCTACAAAGAAATCCTGTCTCAAAAAAAAAATACACATGCAAGGTCATTTGCTGCAGTTTTTCTGCCTGAGACAGAAAGCAGCCACTTTAACTCTTCTTCCGATTAAAAAAGGATCTCTCTGTGAAAACAGATGCTTAGGTGTGGTTTGTGCCTAATCTGGGGTCCAGGAGAAAGCCCCACTGTGCAAGGGGTCTCCTTCAGTATGGGTCTCTCCACATTGACTGCAGGCTCCAGGTCAGGACCCACCTAAGGTTGGAACTTGTGGGCAGGCTCAGACGTGAGCAAGGGACATCCTCCTGACCCATCTGATGAGCAGTCCTCTGGTTCTGTTGCAGGACCTGTAAGGATATAAGAAGGAAATTGTTAGTAATTTCTGCATTGTGAGCTTCTTGAATATGGGGTGCATTTGGCCCTTAGAAGGCCAAAAGACAGGGTGGCCCAATTTCGGAAAGTGCCAAGGACATATGTAAGGTCCCCTTCTTATTCATCCTCTCTACTTGTCCTGAGTATGGTGGGTTATAGGCACAGTGTAGTTTCCAGCTAATGTTTGGGGCCTTTGCCAGGTTTAGAGAAACTTTGTCCATGAAGACCAGGACATTGTTGGACCCCAGGAGAGGGGCAACTCAAATCTAGGAGCTAAAGTCTTGAAGGAGGCTATTGAAGTCCAGAGAACCAACCCCCATGGGTTTGATCTCTGTGAAGTTCACTTCCCAGTGGTGCTTCCTCAGGCCAGATTCTGGGACTTTCCTTCCTCCTCTGGGCTTCACCTGTATACAAGTGGCAAATCTGTATATAATGTCCTCAACAGGATTGTCTAGTTGACGGATGGAATATCTGGGCCTGTGTGACTCAGCAGTCTTGGTTGCCCCGAGATGGGTGGCCTGGCAGAGTTTGGTGAGCGTCAGTCTTCTGACAGCAGCAGAGAGTACATGTGTCCTGCCTGGCTGAACCACCACCCATTGGCCTCCTGGTTAAGGCGCACTTGGTTTCTTCCTATGTTCAGATTGGGCACTGGAGCCAATCAGACTCAGACAGAGTAACCAAGCCCCATGGTTCTAGGGCTGCCTTTTGGGCAGCCAAGTTTGCTGCCTCATTCCCTTGGGCCTCTGGGAATTTTCCTTGCTGATGCCCTTTGCAGTGGACAATGGCTACCTCACTTGAAAACCAGAGGGCTTCTAGTAGGACCAGGATTTCCTCTTTGTTCTTGATTTCTCTTCTGGGTGAGATGAGAAAATCCTCTTATTATAGAGAGCCCTGTGGATGCGGTCTGTAGCAAAAGCATACCATCCGTCTGTGCACATGGTGACAGCTCTGTCCTTCCTGCCCCCACCATCTGTCTGTCTTTCTGTCCGTGTACATGGTGACAGCTCTGGCCTCCCCCCACCATCTGTCTGTCTGTGTACATGGTGACAGCTCTGTCCATCCCCCACCATCTGTCTGTCTGTGTACATGGTGACAGCTCTGTCCATACCCAACCATCTGTCTGTCCGTGTACATGGGGACAGCTCTGTCCATCCCCAACCATCTGTCTGTCCGTGTACATGGTGACAGCTCTGTCCTCCCCCTACCATCTGTCTGTCCGTGTACACGGTGACAGCTCTGTCCTCCCCCACCATCTGTGTACAGGGTGACAGCTCTGTCCTTCCTCCACCATCTGTCTGTGTACATGGTGACAGCTCTCCCAGTGAAGTACCTGGGTTCCCTTGGGGAGCTCAGCACCTCTTCTGCTTCTCGCAACAGGACATCCATTAGGTTGGGTCTCGTGGACTGGACCTCTCCAGTCATTCACAGGCAAACACGGAGGGGCTCTCTTCGGTTATTGTCTGGCAGCAGGCTAACTGTGCTGAATTTGTACAGGATTAGATGCTGGGCTGATCCAGGAAAATAGTCTGATATTGTGGAGCACTGGATAGCTGCCTCTCTGGGATCCCCCTCAAGAAGCCGCTACTAAGTGTGATGTGGTTAGGAACAATTCCTGGCCCTAAGTCTGTTGTCTACTTACTTTACTCACATGGCTGAGGGAGGCAACTGCCAGCAGACAATCCCCCAACCAGCAGAAACAGGATCCCAATAGCTGGATAAGGACCCCCTTTGTAATCACTTACACAGGATAAGGTGTCCTTATAACTTCCACAGCTTATTTGCATTATCTCAGTCTAACTGCATAACAAAAGCAATATTGCTTGCCCACTGGTTTTCTGGGGCATCTGGCACCCAGTAAGCCTCACAGAAGCACTCCTGGGCAGCGATTCTTGGGGCTCTTGTATTATCTCACTCACCTTAGACAATTGACAGGTTTAGGGGGCTTGGGGGGGGAGGCGTTTGGTTGGTTTTGAATTTTCCAAGTCAGGATTTCTCTGTAGCTTTGTCTGTTCTGGAACTCGGCTCTGTAGACCAAGTTGACCTTGAACTCACAGATATCTATCTACCTCTGCAGTTGTAAGTAGGCTGCTTGTTTGTTTCCTGGCTGCCTGGAAGCTCAGACCCGAAATAATCACACAGAAACTATATTATTTAAATTACTGCTTGGCCCATTAGCTCTAGCTTCTTATTGGCAAACTCTTACATATTAATTTAACCCATCTCCATTAATCTGTGTATCACCACAAGGCTGTGGCTTATCAGATAAAATTCGGGCATCTGTCCATCTGTCTCGGCAAAGCTACATGGCTTCTCTCTGAATCCGCCCTTCTTTCTCCCAGCATTCAGTTTAGTTTTCCCCACCTAGTTCTGTTTTACTCTATCAGACCAAGCCAGTTTTTTTTAATTCATTAATGGTAATCATAGCATACAGAGGGAAATCTCTGTATATTTAAATAAAAAGAAAGGTTTTAAGTTTAACATAATAAAATTACATAAAACAAAACAGGTATCAAGGAAGAATTACAGTTACAATTCTTATATACACTTTATCTTTTATCAAAACTAAGGAAAACTATAACTATAAATTCTTCAACTCCATCAAAGACTCCAGAAGGATATATTACCTAAGTAAACAGGAAGTGTATTGTAAGCAACTTCCAAAACTCTAGAACTGACAGAGAATTGCCTCTGCCTCTACTGGAATTAAAGGCGTGCGCTGCCACCACCCAACTAAATTGGTAAATTTCCGAACAGTCGCCTTCAGTCATCCTCAAGAGGCCTGGTGGGAATTGTCCAAAGCCTCTCTACCTTGTACAATGTCTGGGGTCCCAGTCAGGTAGATTAATGAGGGCCTGAGGTCTTTCAGAGAATGATGGGTTCAGAGTGTTCCAGTTCATAGAGATTGTTGGTTGAAAAGGAGACACAAACCATGAAATGGGAAGGAAGGGAGCTTTCAGGTCTTAGGTCTGTCACAGGTCTGTCAGAGGCAACTCCCTTAGTGGGAGGATGGGGCCTGCCTCTGCCCCAAGAAAATCTTCCCAGATCCCCCAGAACCACTCTGCATGCGTAGAGGGGTAAATGGGCCTGAGCTAGAAGGGACTACCTCACTACCACCCCCAACTTGGCCAGGGGAAACTATCCCTGCCCTCCTGCTGGAACGGACAGTGGAGGGATCAAGGGAGTGGCTATTTCCTTCTCCCTGCAGGCCCTCTGCTTAAAGGCACTCAGATGGCAAGATGGACAAGAGGCCAAACCCCTCCCTGCCTTCATACAGGAAATAGGACCTGGACTGTGGAAGCAGAGAGAAAGAAGCCAAGAGAAGACAGCAAACGGCGACACTCCTGCTCTCAGGACTGGGGGAGGTGCTCCAGTCAAGTGCTGCCATCCCAGGGAGTGGAGCAAGGACAAGGATGGGGACCACAAGTAACAACTCCACACGAGCTGGGACAGAGCACTCCAGGAGCAGGAGGGGGAAGGTGGGTTTCCTCCAGTGGGGCTGAGAGAACAGGTGGAGGTTTGGCGTTTCTCTGGGTGGCCTGGCTGAACCAAAAGGATTTGGGTACCCAACAAGAGGGTGTGGGTCTTGGGTGGTATCGTATACCAAGGGAAGTCACTGGTCAATTCGAGGAAGCTAATTGGGATGTCTGGCTCCCCCATTCACCATGTTCCAAATGGTCTGAGCCCTCATTGGGCCAGTCAATTTCCTATAAGGTCTGGATTTCTGGGCAAAAAAAACCCAGACATCATATCTGTCTTTGTCCACAAAATCCACCTTGGGTCACTGCCAACATCACCATAGCAACAGCAACAGCCAGATGCCACAGCTACAATCACACCAGAGGCACCAGTGGCCTCCATCTTGCTCATTCCCCTTCCCATGATAGATCTGTTTCTCCGACCGACAGAACTGACAGAAACACGGAGAGACAAAGAGCAAAGACAACAGGGGTTTCCATCACACAGACTAAAACTGGGAACCAGCGGCATCTCACATGTGTCCGGGACAACTGGAATTAGGGCTGCATCCAGCCCTTCCTAATGTCCTATGCAGAAGGTACATAAATAGATTCACCTCTGGAGAGAACAGATTCAGTCTTCTGTTTAGGGTGGAGTCATCAGGAGCCTCTGGGTCCACAGGAGCAGAGGCAGAAGTTTCTGGGGCCCAGCAATATTTCAGTGTGCAAACCCCCTATGAACTGTCCTGTTCCTCTTGTTATTCCAGAGGATCCCAGGCCCCCAGCATCTTTGAGAATCTTGCTAGTACCTCCAGAATGTCACAAGGTAACTCTTTCAGAGAACACACAGACTCTTGAGCAAGGTTAGTACATTTAGGGAAATTCCCAGAGCTGCGGACGGTGATGTTAACTTTATTCTCCCTTGGGCAGATTTTGGGGTCTTCTGATGGGCTCCTAGATCAGAAGGGTGCCTAGGTACCTCTAACAAGGCATTAGTAGTGCTAAGGTCTGGGGTCCTGTTACACCTTCTGATGTCAACAGCATGATGCAAACCAGGAAGGTTCCCAGTCCAGAGCCCCCCAGCTTCCCGTGACACACTGGACTCTTTCATCTATATCCTCTCCCTCAGCCACTGATAGAAGCCTTTCCCAAGTCTCGGGCAGCCAAAATGGAATCAGAACTCAGCACTGTTGGGCTGGGAGTAATGCGATGGTGGTATACTTGCCTAGAAGACACAAAGGCTCTATATCAGCCCCCCAAAATCAGCATCATTTCAACAGTGTTGCTATGGGTCCCACCTCCATGCCTGGACCACACTGGAAAGTACTACCAGCCCAAACCCTCTACACCCCTAAACACATAATAAGGGTTTCTGGGCCCAGAATCCTGGGGCCAAGCTGACTCAGTTTTCCCAACAGATTTTCCACATCAGTCCACCCAGGAAGAATTGAGTACCTCATGGCCAAAGCTGCCAACAAAGGTCATAATTACCATCTCGAATTCAGAGTCAAGATCTGCATGCAGGGCACACAGGAACACTGACTTTATCTTAACCCCAGTAAAATACAAGTGCAGAGTAGAGGAGAAATAAGGAAAGCCAGCCCCAAGGCCACTCCCTGTCCCTTAAAATGACAAATGCACCACGCTCATGTCAGAAAGCCAGGCTGTAAAAGCCACAAGTGAATTAGGATGCCGTCCAAAGTGGTGATGTCATGTGATAGTGTTCCCGTGAAGCTGTTGGCCAGGAGCGGGGCTACCGCGCATCTGCTAGTCAACCAGAGGCCTCTGGCCCTCCCAGGCCTGCCAAATGGAGAGCAAGGCAGAAAATAATTTGCGAGTCAGGACTTCCCCCGAAGGAGGCCAGGGTAGCCAGGGACACAGCCACCTAAAAGCCATCCCTTGGAGATGGGACACCACCCCATCTATGGGAAGACAGCCCTATTAGTACTCTGATCTGCTATGGTGTGTGTATGTGCACTTCACATGTATGTGCTGCATGCAGAGGCCAAAGATGTCCCTGGCTCTAGTTACTCCGGTATGGTCTGTTTTGGCTTTTTTTCTTTCATGTGTGTGTGTCTGTGGTGTTGTATCTATGGTGTTATGTATGAGTGTGGCAACATACATGTGATTGTGCAAGTACATGCATCCATGCACACATACGTAGAAGCCAAATCCAGAATCAAGTGCCTTTCTATACTGCTTTCTATCTTATTGCCCCAAGATGGGCTCTCTCACTGAACCTGAAGCTTGCTGTTTCAGATAGGCTCATATAATCCACACGCCTCTGCACCCCTGGAGCTGGGATTGCAGGCCCATACCTGATTTGGTTTTGTGTGTTTGTTTTATGAGTGCTGGGAATTTAAACTCAGGTCCCCGTGTTTGCAGGGAGGGTAGACCCAACCACTGAGCCCCAACTCAACCATCAGCCCCTTTACCTTGCTTTGTAAGACAGGTCTCTCACTGGCTGGAACTTGATAGGCTGGCTGGCCAGTGAGTCCCAGGGATCAATGTGTCTACACTTCCCCATCACGTTACCTTGTGAGCATCACTGCTGCCTGGCTGCCAGTCTGGCCAAATTGGTGAGCTCCGGGTTCAGTATGAAATTCTGTCTCAAAAACTAAGAGCGAGTAAGTGACTGTTGAATGTTCATCTTTAAATGAGCTGTCCCCATCAAATGGCCCAGAAGGTTCAGGGGACATGAAGACAGAGTTACAGGCAATTTAAGCTGGGAGCCAACCTTGGACCTTCTGCAAGATCAGCAGGTGCTCTTAGCCACCGAGCCATCTCCTGAGCTCCATCATTTTGTGTGTTTTGTGTGTCTCTGTGTGTGTGTGTGTGTGAGAGAGAGAGAGAGAGAGAGAGAGAGAGAGAGAGAGAGAGAGAGAGAGAGAGAGAGAGAGCTGCCTAAGTGCCTTGGTCAAAGGACAATGTTAAATACTAACCCTTACCTCCCACCTTGTTCAAGGTAAAGTCTCTCGTAACTTACTGGTGTGTACATGAAGCTG